TTGTCTTCGGAGCAGCCTGAATGATACGAGGCTGCAGAGGAAGTCTGGGCACCAGGCAACATTGCTTAGGTGTAGAATTTGTTTGCCCTGAGCCCCCTCTGCCGTCACCTTGACTGCTCCGTATCCTTGTATCCAAACCCTTGAGTTGCCAGCCCAAATGTAATCTCCCATCGCAGGCGGGCGTACGTCTTCGAGCCTTGAGAGGTTGTTGCAGATGTGCGTCGTCGAGCCAGAATCCAGGATGAATGCATCCTTTAATGGGTATCCTTGATTACTCGCATTGAATGCCGCTTTCATCATGCCCTCGTCCAGCCTCGAGATCTCGCGTCCATCTAGTCAATCAGTGACTGAGTCCGGTGTTTGTGATGTCTTGATGTAGGGTGTAATCGATCGTGATGCCGTAGTTAGGCGTGGTCGCTTCGTTTCCAGGTTTGTTTCCTGTATTATTCTTTGTAAGTCTGCATCATGCTGAAGTTTGTACTGTACCAGCTTTGTGATGTGTTTGTTCGGTTTGAACCAATCTGGGGTCTCCAAAGTTGGGTTGACATAGTAGCAGCTACTGATGTCATGGCGTTGTTCACAAGCAGGACATATGTCGCCAGCTTCTGCTGTATTCCTTTTCTGGAACTGCTTGGACTTGTTGCCAGGTGCATTCATTTTGCGTTTGTTTGTTTGCCTTTGGTTTCCCTGGCTAGGGTTGGTAGATGGCGCTCTAATTTGCACACTTGAGGCGTCCCCCTGTGTGTTCGAGTCGGATTCACCGCTCGCCGCGTAGGCTGCTTCACCCGTCATAAAGGCACTTCTTGATTTGCCTCGTGTTGGGTGAGCTAGGCTCATGTGTTCGCGGAAGAGTTTCATCATCTGCCTTCTTTCTATATTGTTCCGGTCGCTTCCCGCTCCAGTGAATGTTGCCATCCATGCTGGGGCAATCTTAGAGACTGCTTTTAGGAAGTCGTCCACAACCAGCTTGCTTTGTATCACGTCCCCTATCTTTAGGGCTTCGGCGCGAGTTGCAGCTTGGTCGTATTCGCTGAGCCATGATTCCCAATTTTGCGGGCTTCTCATAGGTCTCAAGGAATCGTGGTACCTCTCTCGTACCCTTCTGATCTCATCGTCGAGGTCTACTCCAACTGCTACCTGGAGGTTTGTGATCCAGGTGCGGAGAGTTCCATGTTCCTCAAAGCAGCTCACTTGGAGGTGTGGGCTAACTGTTGCATTCAGGTGTCTGATCATTGCCGCAATGTTTGTGCGTTCGTCTCGATAGTTTCGTTCGCGTATTTTGTATGATTCAAAAACCATCTTGAATTCCCTTGAGTCCCCATCGTATGCCTCCTTCCCCTCCGCTGAGAGTTCTGAGTATCGAGCTGGTATGGCTGGAGTTTGAACAGCAGGGTTGACTATGTCAACTGTATCTTGTGTAGGCGCTCGGGCATTGGCTCTCGCGGTTCGTGTAGAGGAGGATGGAGCTGATGATGTATTTCTCAGAGCAGCGGCTGGTTCATAGTCGGATACGAGTGGAGGGAGAGGTTCGGTCGGCTTTGTACGAGGCTGAGTGTTGCCCGCTGGATCTACAATGTCCCAGATCTCTAGGGCTTCGCATTGCATCTTGATTTGGCGGTACCAGGGGATCCATTTGCTCGAGTCGGTGAGGATGACTGTTGCGTCCCTCTGGCTCTGGTTTGTCGCCATTATTGCGTGTTCGTTGCTCGTTATAGAGGCAGTGAGACTCTTAATTGTCAGATTAGATGAGATATTGCACAAAAGTGATGGATGTTCATGATTGATTGTTCTTCGTTCTAAGGTGCGCGCTGAGAGTTTTGTTCTGCTAAGACGCTAACCCGTTATTAGCTAGCGGTGTCGGCACTTTCGGCTCGACACGCCTGCTATCTGACAAGAGGCATTTCTGCAAGCTCCTAGATATTGAGCAACGTCTATTAATAGCCTATTACCCACAAACCGATGGCGCTATAGAGCGAATAAACCAGGAGATTAAGAAGATAATTCGCATCTAGGCTACATACACGCAAGAGAACTAGCTCGCGCTTCTACCTATTGTTATAGGGGCAATTAACAACCGTGAAGCCTCCTCTACTAGACTAAGCCCAACTTCGAGTTTTTTCCGAACACGTGAAACTCCATCAGAAACCAACTATATCCATCGAAAGAAATAGATTCCGACTACTCCCAAGCCGTGCAGCCGCGTGGTTGTGGAGATACAAGGAGTCTAGTACCCCAAACGCGACGCGTCCGAACTTTCAGAAGCAAACGCACAGACCAAGCCAAGAAACAACAACAACAAGACAACAGAGAGGCTAAAATGGCCCCAGATAGCGACACTATCGTAGTCCAGCTACCAGAAGACCTCCGGACCTCAAGCACACTGGACGACGAAATGGAGACCGACGAAAGGCACCAAGACAACCCAACAACACCCATCGAGCAGACCACCCAAGAAACACCAAGGTTAATTATTCAGCCACCACTAAATAAAAGACCAGCGGCATTCTCCCCAGAGATAACTACAAGAGAGAGAAACCCATTCCAGAACAGCCAAGAAAAGAAACCAAGAGCAAAGGACTCAACCCAAGCAATCTTCTGGGCAAGGGACCTAATTCTACAAGCATCTACTATGGCCGAATCCCATCTATCCCAAAACAAACTACTACAACTACTGGACGTCTTTAGAGACTTTACGGAACTAGGCAGGGTTACGCAGCAAATGACTGAGAAGTTTACAGCACAGCTTGCGTACCAGACTGCAACGCTTACAAGCGCCTCCCAACAAGCTACAAAGACACTAAAGAAAGCTGTTAATGCCGCAACTGGACCACAAAACCCAAACAACCAAGAAAAACCAAACACCCAGAACATCCAAAACACCCAAAACACCCAAAACACCCAACAAAACAAGACATCATACGCTAGCGTAGCCGCCCAGAACAACGGAAACACATGGACTACAGTGTCTACAAAAAAGAAGACAAACAAAAAGCCAGCAAGCTACTACCAAGCAGTCCTTACGCTTACCCAGCCTACGTCTCACACACCACTCCAGATTAGAGACCTAATCAACGAAGAGTTCACAAAGGGCGGCATCAAAGACCCAGTAGTGAAGGAAGTAACAACAAGTAGAAAGAACAATATTATTCTAACAACCACTCCAACCTACTCAGGAGAATACCTAGTCCAACACAAGCATATATGGCATCAAAAGTTTGAGCTAAAGAATGTACAACTACTAGAATCATGGACGAAAGTAGTAGTACATAATGTGCCAACAGAATGGGAGGGAGCAGAGACACTAGAGATACTCCACACAGAAATCCCAGCATACAACAACGGACTACAAATTACTGGCAACCCATACTGGATATCAAGAGAATGGCAAAACAAGAAGAACAGCTCTATTGTAATAGCATTCAAAACAGCCGAAGACGCAGCCAGACTTGGTGGTAGAATTACAATCCTTGGACAAACTCTCTTCACCGAAAAGTTTAAGCCTATAGCAGCATCTACCCAATGCCTAAACTGCCAACAATTTGGCCACCCAGCCACTAGATGCCGAAACCAACCAGCATGCAATTTGTGCGGAGAAGAACATGCAACTACAACACACAAATGCTCAGTGTGTAATACAAAAGGAAAACCCTGCAACCATACACTCCCCCACTGTAGTAACTGCAAAGAGCCCCACTTTGCAAACAGCAAAGAGTGCGAACTCTACCAAGCAGTAACAAAGAGCATCCCCGCAGGATTTTAATGTTGAACAACATTAGGATCCTCCAAGTCAATCTCAACAAGAGCATTACAGCGACTGAGTCTACACTACAACTTGCAGTTGAACTTAAAGCTGATATAATTGCAATTCAAGAGCCATGGCTAACTACCAACGACAACTACGCAACAGCAAGATCCATAAATCACACTGCGTTTATCCAGATCCTACCAGTAACAAACCTACCCGTCCGCCCTAGGGTTCTATTTTATATATCTAGAACACTAGAAGCAGAGACATTCACCCAAAACGACTTCAAAATAGACCCAGACGCAATGGCTATTACAATAAAAGGTTCTAATTTCCAATTTAACCTATTTAACGTATACAACCAAACAAACGCCGAAGGGGAAAAAACACTGCCCAGAGCTATACTTAACACTAAGCTTCCGCCAAGTTCTATTTTAGTACTAGATAGCAACGAGCACCATCCATTGTGGGACCCGCTATGCCCAACGACGAGCCAAGGAGCACAGCCATTTATTGACTGGATTGAAGAACAAGATCTAGAGCTCCTAAACACACCAGGAGTAGGCACATTCTTCAGACCACACCTATCTAGAGAAACAGTCCTAGACCTCTCACTTGTCACTCCAGACTTGGCTAGCAAAGCTACGGACTGGCAGACTATACCTGAAACTGGATCAGATCACTACGGCCTCCTATTCTCCATCCAAACAAACGCAGACCTTGTAGAAAACCCGACAAACCAACCCAGATTTAATACTGCAAAGGCTAACTGGGACACCTTCAACAAAGAACTAGAAACGGCAATCCAAAACAGTCAAACCTTGCAAGATATGGACCAGATCAGTGATCTAAGAAAGGCAGACTTAATGGACCTCCTCCTCGGCAACAATACAGAGCTAGAGCAACAGCTAGAAGAGATTGGTAAAGCAATAACTCAAGCAATCCAAACTGCAGCAAACAAAGCTATCCCTATCACTAGACTTGGTCCAAAACCAAAAGCTTGGTGGAACAAAGAGCTGACAAAGCTACGACAAGACACTTCCCACTATAGAAGGATTTTTAAAGAAAAGCTCGAAACTACTGCGATACACGACGCCTACCCAGAGAAAAGAGACTTCCTACGTGCACGAAACACCTACAACAAGGCAATCAAAGACGCTAAAAGGAAACACTGGAATGAATTCCTAGAGAAGGAAGACCCGCAGTCAATCTACAAAGCCATGGCATATACAAAGGATAACAAAGTCGAAAGAATTCCACCTATACAAGGAGAAACATCATTCGACAAGAAATGCCAAGCGTTCCGCAACACGCTATTCCCACCACCGCCCATAACCGAAGCGCCCACATTCACCAACTACCAGGAAAAGAGATGGGATTGGCCAGCACTATCCACGACTGAACTAGAACGAGCATGCTCAAGTCAAGTCAAAAGTAGCACCCCAGGACCAGATGCAATAACACAAGACATAATCACAGCCGCGTACAAAGCTCAACCGCAAACAATGTTTAGAGCTTTCTCACTCCTATTCAACTATGGATACCACCCAAAATGCTGGAAACAAGCTACAGGAGCTGTTCTTAAAAAGGCATCAAAACCAGACTATTCAATCCCAAAAGCCTACAGAGTTATCACTCTATTAAGCTGTTTAGGAAAGATTAACGAGAGGATCACCGCAAGTAGGCTGAGCAATCTAGCAGAAATCACAGAGCTACTACACCCAACCCCAAATTGGGGGTAGACTCAAGAAATCTGCAATAGATGCAGCTATGCTACTCATCGACCAAATTCAGCACCAGAAACAGAAAAGGCCAAATAACATCAACTATCTTCCTAGACGTAAAGGGAGCATTTGACCACGTCTCACACAATCAATTCCTGCGAACGCTTAAGAAGCTAGGCCTTCCAATTAGTCTTATCGCTTGGACAAAATCCTTCTTCTCAAACAGATCGCTAAGACTCTCCTTCGACAATAAGACACAAGAATTCTCCGAGATAATAGCTGGGATACCTCAAGGCAGCCCAGTGTCTCCAATCTTCTTTCTTATCTACACCAGAGACCTCTTCCCAGGACTACAAAGCTTCAACCTATCCTATATTGACGACCTATCTCTATCGACATCCTCAACATCGCTAAAGAAAAATGTCAAAATACTAGAACAGCAAGTCCGCCTACTATCTCACCGAGGGAAAAACTTAGCGATTATGTTCGATATAGCTAAGACAGAGCTCATCCACTTTACCGCCAAGAAAGAGAGAAAAGAGAGAAGCCTACAGCTTCCAGACAACACCATTGTAGAACCGAAAGACACAATCAAATGGCTAGGTATCCACATAGACAATAGACTGTCCTTCAAGGAACATATTGCTACACGCGTAAGCCAAGCAAGGAAAGCATTCTATAGACTAGGGAGACTAGCCAACATCGAAAGAGGACTCTCCCCAAAAGCAGTACGACAACTATACCTAGCATGCGTCACAAGCGTTGCAGACTACGGATCACAAATATACTGGAAGAACCAAAGCTACGCCACTAGCCTCCTACAATCACTGCACAACCTGGCGTGTAGAAAGATAATTGGAGTGTTTAGAACGTCACCATCCCTACCAACAAGCATTGAATCCGGACTTACGTCACCTGCAATTAGACTCAACACCAACAACCGAAAGTATGCGTCTAGAGCACACCAGCTATCCAGCAACCACCCAATCCAGAAAGCAATTACAAGGATCACAAATACAGACAAAGCTAGCTACAAAAAGCCAAACCAGCATAGACAACTATACACTATTGTTAAGTCAATCCCAGAGAGAGACAACAATAGCGTAGAAAAGATAATCCCATATAGGTTCAGACCATGGGAAAGTCTTAACTACAAGGTTACTGTATCAAAAAAGAGCAAAGAGGAAGAGGCAATTGCACACACGGATTATATCCTATCAAGGAGCGGAGATAACTTCACCGCAATCTACTCAGATGCCTCACAACACGACAAGGGAATAGGGATCGGCGTAGGTGTAGTAGCGTACAGCTCCACCCACGAAGAAACCTTTTCTCAAAAGACAAACATTGGATGCTCCCAACTAGTCTACAACGGTGAACTAGAGGGGATAGCACAGGCATTTGAACACGCGGCTACAGTGGCACAAGAAGGCCAAGAGATCTACGTATACGCAGACAACCAAGCAGCAATCCATAGGCTTAACAACCTATCGGACAACCCGGGACAACAGTGGCTACTAAGATGCATCAGAGCTGCAAAGAGAATAACGACAAAGAAAGCATCGATCCACCTGCAGTGGGCCCCAGGACATAACGACGTCAAGGGCAACGAAAAAGCCGACACGCTAGCAAAGGAAGCAGCTAAAGAGAGACCAACAACATCGACCACAGCGAGCCTAGCCTACTTAGGCACAGAAATCAACAAAATACAAAAAACAGAACAACTGATGGAGTACAAGAGGTATACCGACAGGCCCACCAAAAACAGAAGCTCCTACTCAAGGATCTTCAAGCTCAACACACATACAACAATCAAAGTCCCGAAGGGAACACCAAGAGAAATCTCGAGCGCGTTCTACTCACTCAAGCTAGGACATGGATACTTCAACTCCTACCTTAAGAGATTCAACAAGAGAGACTGCAATCTATGTATATGCTACAAACCACAAACACCACAGCATCTACTTCTAGATTGCAAACAGTACAAAACACATCGAAATACACTCAAAGAATCAATACCACACAGACCCATCACCCTCCCACTCCTCCTCCAAACAAAGACAGGCATCAAAGCTACTCTAGCCTTTATTGCAAGTACTAGGATTGGCACGAGAAAATGGCACCTTGGGCAAACCACCGAACAGACAGACACTGTATAAAACTACAAAAACAATATTTCCTTATCTAAAAGAGCCCGCTGCTACATCTCTTTCTATTCACCACACTGCTCTTTAGCACCCGCGCCAATGGAAGACTAGCTCTGAAATTGGAGTACGCAAAACACCACCCAAATTGTACAAGACCCATAGAAACTCCACAACGACCATCATACATAGAACGGCTTAGCCAAAGTCCTACATAGTCACCGACTGATACAGGACTCTAATGGAAATATAATAATAATAATAATACTAGACTAAGCCCCTTCTTTTTTATGCACGGATATCACAACGAGCCGATCTAGCTAGTAGAGGAACGAACTATTCAGAACTAGCCAAAGAAGAACGGCGAAGTACTAGCAAAGAGCTTTCTTTAAAGACTATAAGATGTAACAAAGTAGGCGCAAGCTGCAATAGCTATAACGCAAGAGAAACAGCAATACTAGGCTAATAAGGCGAGAACCGCGGCTCCTTGGTATAAAGAGGGAGACTAGGTGTTTTTAAACCTCAGAAATATAAAGACAACACGACTATCTAAGAAATTAGACTAGCTATACAGAAAGTACTAAGTCATGCGTCAAGTTAATTCCCACTCCTACTAGCTCAACGTTCCTAGAAAGATCTACCCTGTCTTCCACGTAGACCTACTTCGATATGCGCAAAACGACCCACTTCCATCTTAGAAGGTTAGAGATACCCAGCTAGGCCCTATACTAGTAGATGGAGAAGAGGTCTGGTTAGTTGAACGAGTTTTGGATAAAAGAACAATAAAGCAAGGAAGGAAAGGATCGAAAGAGGCATACGTGAAATGGGTGGACTACACAGAACCAACATGGGAACCTGTGAGTAACGTACTCAAAACTGACGCTTGGAAGAAATGGATCAAACTACGCGCCAAGAAGAAAGGAGGGGGGTAATGTAACGGGCTGAGCCCTAGGTCACATGACTAGGCCGCTGGCCTAGTCGCTTCCTTCCTTCTATCACTCCTTCCCCCAGCAGCCCGTGCACCGTGCGCCGCGCGCCAACCCAAACAAAGCGGGATGGCCGCCCACTTCCTCTTCTTCTCTTCATCTCGACTGTAAATAGCATCTGGATTAGGTAGCTGGAATACAGTACCTACAGACCGTTCACAGGGAGGTTGATAGCAAGGTGGTCTTCGGGTGACTCTGTATGCTCATCATGAATGACGTCTTCATAGCTTTGCAAGCGGTCCTCATAGACTCCAAGTAAGTATTCAAATACTAGAATAACCTCAGCGATTGCTCCAAAAAGCACCGCTTTTGCCGCGGCCTTCAAGCCGTTTTGTAGCTTGTTTTAGTGGCCTAAGCACATCAATATACTCAGCAATCACCTGCCAGTCATGGGCATTGATCCCATCAGACCTCATCCAATCCGGCGCTGCAGGCAGCTTGTTGTTACGACTTCGGGCGTACGCGTCTTCAGTTTCAATCTTCTAAATATGGTAGTTAGCGTACCTATTAATCGCTAATTACAACTCAACAGCGCGCTTAAAACACGAAACGTAAGAGTTCTAGCGAGTAACAACTAGCTTGACGGGCTCCTTGATTTTATGCTGTTCTGTTGGCGCGTTGACAGCACAGTCCGCAACAATCAATTAAGTGGGTCCTAGAAGGTTCAGATTGGATTGATTGATTACCGCTTTAAGCCTAGTAGTTACCTATAGGAGTTTAAGCCCTACCTAGATAGGTAAGTGGGTCTAGGAGAGTGACCGGATTGAATTGATTGTTGCGGAGTCTACCAAACCGTGACAGTAGGTAAGATGCACTGGACAATAGTCGGAATTCTCCATGCCCATGACGAGTTGCCCAGATGTAGGTTAGTGCCGTAAGTAGTCCAGCCAGCCAGGTAGACTCCGCAACAATCAATTCAATCCGGTCACTCTCCTAGACCCACTTACCTATCTAGGTAGGGCTTAAACTCCTATAGGTAACTACTAGGCTTAAAGCGGTAATCAATCAATCCAATCTGAACCTTCTAGGACCCACTTAATTGATTGTTGCGGACTGTGGGCGTACGTCTTCAATTCTTGAGAGGTCGTTGCAGATGTGCGTAGTCGAGCCGGAATCCAGGATGAAGGCATCCTTTAATGGATATCCTTGTTGGCTTGCGCTGAATGCCGCTTTCATCGTGCCCTCATCAATTCTTGAGATTTCGCGTCCATCTAGTCATTCAATGACTGCGTCCGGTGTTTGTGATGTCTTGATATGAGGTGTAATCGATCGTGACGTTGTCGAGAATCGAGGTCGTTTAGTCTCTGGGGACATTTCCTGCATCGTTCTCTGTAAGTTGGTGTCATTTTCAAGTTTGTACTGTACTAATCTTGCGATGCCTCGATTTGGCTTGAACCATTCAGGTGCCTTGGCTTTGTTCACATAGTAGCAGTCAGATATCTCATGACGCTGTTCACAGGCAGGACATATGTCTCCAGCTTTCGCTGAATTCCTCTCCGGGATCTGCTTGGTTCTGGTACTTTGACCATCCATCTTGCGTTTGTTTGATTGCCTAGGGTTTCCCCGGCCTTGGTTGGATGGCGCTCTTAATTCCACACTAGAGGCGTCCCTCAGTGTGTCCGAGTCGGGTTCACCGCTCGCCGCGTATAAGTCTCCTACCGCGAAGGCGCTCTTTGGCTTCCCTCTTGATGGATATTGAAGACTCATATATTCACGGAAGAGTTTCATCATCCTTTTCCTATTCATGGCTTTCTTATCGTACCCTGGCCCTTGGAACCCTGCGGTCCAGGTTGATGCCATTTTAGATACGGAGCCTAGGAAGTCGTCTATTACGGCTTGTGTTTGCATAACCTCGGCCACCTCAAGGGTTTCAGCTCGAGTTGCAGCCTGATCGTATTCATTTAGCCACGTCTCCCAGTTTGTGGTTGAACGCATTGGCTTGAGTGCGGCTTGGTATCTCTCTCGTGCTCGCGCTCTCTCCTCGTCTTCATCCACTCCAACTGTGTCTTGGAGGGCGGTTATCCAGTCGCGCGGCGTGCCGTTCTCGGCGCAACAGCTAAGTTGTAAATGGGGTGTTACGGTTGTAAGGATGTGTTCGACCATCTTTGAGATTTTGTTGCTTTCTTCTTGATAGTCCCTCTCCCGTATTTTGTATGACTCAAGGCGCAGCTTGTAGTCGTCGCGATCCTCCTTATACGCTTCTTGTCCTTTCTCTGAGAGTTCTGACACTCGCGTTGGTATAGTGGGGATTCGTGAGGTTGTTGTCGACATTTCTGTAGTGTCTTGTGCTGATCCTCGCGTGTTGCCTCTAGCGTTTCGGGTGGTATGCGATGAGGCAGCTGAGGGGCTACTTGACGGTTCATACTGCGAAATGTCTGGGGGTAGCGGAGCCTCCGGTTGGATGCGCTGGAGTCGCACTCCTTCGGGGTCCAACAGTGGCCAAATGCCTTGCGACTGGCATTTCAGCTTAAGTTGGCGGTACCAAGGGATCCAGTTGCTTGAGTCGGTGAGGATGACCGTCGCGTCCCGTTGGGTCTGGATTGTTGCCATTTTCGTGGTTTTATCGCTCGTTATTGAGGCAGTGAGACTCTTAATTGTCAGATATAATGAGATATTGCACAAAAGTGATGGATGTTGATGATTGTGTGTATTGTGTTCTGTCTATCGTGTGTCCGCGCTTGTGGCCCTCTTGAGGGGCGCACTGACCCTCTCTACGCTGATTGGTTGCTGCCAACGTCGAGTAACCCTGCTATCTGACACCACTCTTGAACGAATCTGATCGGTGTCATCCCAACTATCATAACTCCGTTGTAACATAAGATCTATAGATATTAAGGATAAGCAATCGCTATCTCCCTAATCGCTGCTTTATATAGCGATTAAACACCTACTCTAGCTAAGCTAGGCCTACGTTATTGTTTGACTAGCCTATTAGAGATAATAAGATAAAGACCTTATATTCTCCTGCCTTAATATCCTCTACCTAACTTAATTGTATAGCTCTATTTATAGCTGCGTAGATAAGGCTTAGAGGCAGCGAGCTCCTATTGGCGCAGCAGCAGGCCAGGATTGTCAGAAACTCACGTGATCTATCCTAGAGAGGTGCTCGAACCTCCTTCTTCTCCTATTAACGCCTACTAAATATCCTCTTGCTTCTGCCTATTAAGCTAATTAAGAAGCCCTTCTCATCTATATTATATATATCTTGAGCCTTAAGGTGGTATTTAGTGATCTTTTAGTGCAGTAGCTCGAAGTAGAGTCTATACTTTAACTTAGAATTAGCTAGGTGGCGCGTACGATCTATGGCGCTGGTCTACTTTAAGATGAGATGGATCTTGTGTCTTGTCAGATTTTTTATGGATGGGATCAAGTGTGTATTGTCTGTGTCTGTCTACGGCTCTGTCTGTGGGAGGTACGCTGGCAAATGGGTTGGGTATACCCAGTCTTGGGTTGGGGTTGGGTTGGGGTCGCACAGACCATGGGTTAGGGTTGGGTTGGGGTCGCACAGACCATGGGTTAGGGCTGGGCTGGGGTCGCACAGACCAAGTGGTAGGGTTGGGCTTGGGTTGGGCTGGGTTGGGTTGGGGTTGGGTTATATTTTTTGGGTACTTTAACGGAACAACACTTAATTAAGATAATGTGTACACGTTGATGATATAGTAGATACATAAAACGAGATATATTAACACAGCTAATTATCACGGTAGCGCTGAGGACGCTGGCGCTTTCGAGGTGGCAATTGACGCTCCTCCTGGACCTCTTCCTCCGACTCTTCTTCTGTAGTCTGGTTCTCCTCATCTATATCGAAGGTATGCTCTAACGAGGCTGGAAGCTCAAAAAGATCATTAACCTCGTCAATTGGCTCTCCATCCTCCCCTAATTGAGCAACTAGGTAGTCTAGACCCTGTTCTTCCTCTTGAGATATTGTATCCTTAAGAACCATTATCTGCTGTATTGTCCGGGCAGATAGTCGGTGCCTCCGACTACCAATAACATCCTTAGCAACATTGAAAACTCTTTCAACCCCAACCTGAGCAATTGGTATTGCTAGTATATCCTTCGCCACTTGGGATAGTCGTGGGTAGGTAGGCTCGTTCGTCTTCCACCACTCTAGAATATCGAAAGAGTCATCTGTCATTACACAGGCAGTACTAAGGTAGGACTCTCCTTCTTGGCGGGTTGGGCCAGTTGTCTTGTCTGATTCTACTAGTGAAGAGTTCTGGGAAGAAAAGCTGTTTAACGCTGATGTAGGGGGAGGAGCTGGCTTTCTGAACCACTCATTCCCAAGTGACCTCCTTTTGACTATGCTAGAGCCTGGGGTTGAACCTCTCCCGTCCGTATTATCATAACGATCAAGGTAAGCAAGAAATTGGCCTCGGTAGAGATGCTTGTACTGTGGCTCCCATGAATCGTCCTATAAGCGTAATTAGAGCGTGACTGTGATAAATAGCTGTGATAATCATACTTCATATGCTGTAAGCTTCTGCGTTGGATCAAGGATAGTGGCACAATTAAACAAGAACCCACGTTCTGCGTCTGTCTTCGAATAGTACTTGCTCAGTTTTAGACGACCCCTGTCAGCTGCAGCTCGTACTACGTCTAGCCATTCCCTATCATCTTGATTTTCTTCATCCTCATCTAGGTCCTCTGACATTTTGTCCAAGAAATCAAACAGTCGATTGTACATTAACCAAATATACTGAATCTGGGGCTTCTCGTTCTGGCTGAGGAAGCTAGTTGCTGTTTTAAACCGTTTAAGCATCTCAGTAACGAGTTCGAGATGATGCCACTCAGTCGAAGATAAGCGGAGGCGTTTAAGATCCCGGAAATCAATCTCAGCCATTTGATTGTTGTCTAGAGAGCTATCCAGGTGACTACCTGGCCTTAGCAAGATCTCTTGTTTAAGCCATTCATCAATATATTTTTGGATTTTGAGCGCGCGCTCTAACATGTCGTATGTTGAGTTCCATCGGGTTTTCACGTCGCGGATAACAGATAATCGCTCCTTTGGCGGTAGATGTTGTTGTACCGCAATAAACCGCTCAAAGCGTTGAGGTGATACGTCAATAGCGATACAAATCGCCCTTATCTAGTCTATTATTAGTATGTGATAAATGAATGTGTTAAAAGCGAAATACCTTGCGAAGGGAATTTGGGACTGAAATATGCGTCTCAATGTCCTGTATATGACGTCTCTGTAGGGTATCCCTTGCTCCTAACTCTGTAGTTGCTGCTAGCCGAAGGTGTTGGATAATATCCTGGACAACGAGGTTGATAATATGGGCAAGGCAAGGGATAGTGTTTTCTCTGGCACTCCACTGAATGTCGACTTCTTGGAGTTTAGACTGGAGAGTGCGAGCAAGTACGCTATTGTTACTAGCGTTATCACAAGTAATAGCTAGAAGCTGGGTTTTGGTCTTTGTATCCAGAAGAATATGCAGTACCTCGTCTGCCATAGAAGTACCGGTGTGCCTGCCGCGCATAGGGAGAAAGTCAAGTAGCTTTTCCTGAAGTTTCCAGTCTTTGTTAATGTAGTAACCCTTTACCGCAAGAAAGCAGAGGTGATTAGCTGCAGACCAGGCATCTAAGGCGATTGAGATCTTTGTTGATTTTCCAAGATCTCGAAGGATAGACCTTTTTGCTTCCTCATGTTGACTCTTGAATATCGTCTTGAATTTACAACGACTAATTATCACAGTATCTGGTCGAAGGAACCGAAGAAATCGATGGAAAGATGGTCGTTCAACTGTTCGGAATGACCAGTTGCTGTCGATTACTACCCGTACAAGCTCCTTTTCAAAGGTAGTAGTAGTGTAAGCTGGTATTGATGAAGTACTGTTTCTTTGTTGACGTTGGGATAGAGTAGAGGCCGATAAGTCTGCCTCATTATGAATAGGAGTAAGGACATTTCGACAGCTTTTTGTTTTAAGATGAGTAATAAGGTGCTTTGTCCCAATACCACCTAGATTTGGATGCTGGAGTGCAAGACTACAGTTGTAGCAGAACACGTAGGGGTGGCCAGTTCGAAGCTCAGCAGCTTCTCCAAATCGTAACCATACTGTGCCATAGCGAGTAGGAGAGTTCCATCGTGGGTTATCATTTTTAGGGTTTATACCCCAGCTAGTATTACTCCACGACGCTGTCCATGTCCCTAAGATCTCACTTACACTATAATCTTGCAGAAAACGATTATTTGGATATTTCACTAATCCAATCGTTCTCCTGTCACCCCCCTTTGTAACCTGTGGAGAATTGATTTTTAAACAGTTGAGGTCCTCCAGAAATTCAATATTAGTAGGATTAGGCATAAGCTCAATAGACTGTGCAGCTATGTCCATCGCTTCTAGAAAGTAGTAGAATAAGGCATTAATAGTAGTAGCACACAATAGGAAAAAGTTGAGAAGTTTAAGTTTGGATGTAGGACTCAAGGCTTCTCACGCTCCTCTCAGCTTTGCTTGCGCTATGACGCCTGTAATTTAACTTGAAACCTTGGCATATTACTAGCGGAATATCATTTTTAATGCCTCATAGTAAACACAGAGATCGTCAGGAGTGCACGGATATTAATCTGCATAAATGACAGATCACAATCTTAAGTTAAGATTATATGGCGCAATAATCCGTGTTAATTAGTTGTGATAACTGCTTACTATCCCTCAATGCTTGAAAGTGTCTTAGCCTAAAACTCTAATTATCAGACTCAGAAGCGGCATCAGAATCCGGAAACCCCTCAAACTCAGAGTCCTCAGATTCCTCAGACTCCTCAAGCGCTGCCTGCTTCTGTACAGCAGCCCACTGGTCGTCATCCTCGTACTCGTCTTCAAGTGAATTGAAATGCTCCTCAAGATCAGAGTCATAGTCAACCTCTTCTTCACACTCATCGCTATCGTCACCTTTAACGTACGGCTTATCACCCTCCAGCTCAATATCAGCGTCACCAAGTAAGTCGAGAATGCTAGGTGGCTCCCGTTGCCTTATTATATTAGTATCTCTGTGATAAAAGGATGTGATAAACTTACTGCCAGTCATTATCAGTTACGACTTTCATCTCATCAGGTGTAAGTTCCTCCACGAACTTCTCAAACTCTCTCTTAGCCTCCTTGCTCTCAAAGTCGTTGTTGTTAAGCTTTGCTAATCCTTCTTGATAGGTCTTTCGAAGAATCTTTTGCAAAACACCACCTGAGCCGTAAATTCTTGCTATTCCTCTACCACTAATGTCATGGGTGGGCTTGTCATCTTTGCTAAGCACTTTCGCAATCGTGATCTCGTGTTTTCTCATATCCACCTGCTTAGTGATCGCATCCCATTTACGATGCACATGAGTTAGGTTTGTCTCTAGCCATTCAGCTATAGTCTATTAGCAGATGTCTATGATAAACAGCTGTGATAACTTACCAGACTTTTTCTGGGTAAACCGCTTCTCTGAAAGTATATCCCACTCTTTCTCTAGCAGCTTAGCCTGTCTAGCACTATTTGCTAATTTATACTTAGGCTGTTGCAAAAGCGATTTCTTCAGTTGGTACTTCGCGGAGCGGTCGGCTGTTCTAACGCTTTCAAGTACCTTCTCCTCTTTATCGAAAAGAGCTTTGCGTTCACGTTGAGCAATAGCACGGGCGCTACCACTCAGAGAGCCAGTATAGGGGACGCTCAAATTGATAGGTCGGCCTTTTCGTGAACCCCCACTACCTCTTTGATCTAAGATACCGTCAATCTCGTCAGCTTCACACGCAAATCCCTGCTTATATTAGCATAAGCTGTGATAAATGGCTGTGATTATTACATCGGTAAGCTGCTCCCACTCATCTTGTTCGAACCCAGGCGGAGGTTCAAGTTTGATGGCTGGAACTAGGCCTTCAGGTACGTCGCCGACTTGCTCTTTCGCGACAGGCATGGCGGGGACTGTGATAATGCGCTGTTGTAAATGGGGTGTTTTCAATGTAGTAAAGAGAGTTATTAGGTGTTGGGAGTTACTGGGCGTCAGGGGCTGGAGAAATGGGTAGACAGCATTATGCTCACCTAGAAATGGTCCGTGCGCTGCTGCCTGCGCTAGCGCGAAAACGCGGAAATTACCCAAAATGATCAACACATCGATGATTCCTTCATTTTTGGGCTGCACGCATGCGCGAGCTCGGCGTTTATCACAGCAGTTTAACACGTTTGTATGATATGCTCGCTACTGATTTTGCAACAGAAATGGTTGTATGCGATCGTGAAACAGCAAATTACGTCATGCAGTCCGTGCGCTGCTGCCTTTACTAGTGCGGAAATCGGGAAATTGCCGTCGCCCAAACTTTCCAGCTACCTAACTCTTTCAGCCTACTACTTTCTTAATTGTCGACCACATTTATCACAGTAATCAATCACATACGTCGCCTACGTTCATCATCTACTCTACTACGCAATGGCAAGGACAAAACCACGGCCTAAGGTCACCGGTAAAGCCGGCCGGGGTGGTCCTGATGGCAAGACAGTTACTGGCGGCAAGCCGGCTCAGAAGGCCCTTGCTAGTAAGGCTAGACGTCAAGTAGCAGGAAAGTCTACGCGAAAGGCACCTGTAGCTGTTAAGAAGAAGCGCAAGTTTAAGGCCGGCAGTAGGTTATCACAGTCGTTTATCACAGCTATTTTCTAATTTAGCTTAGCTGTCGCATTACGGGAAATCAAGAGATACCAGAGAGGTTTTGAACTACTCTTGCGAAAACTCCCCTTTTCCCGCGTAGTGCGCGAATTTGCACAGGTGCACAAGGCCGATATCCGCTTTCAACGATCTGCAATCGAAGCTCTTCAGGAAGCTACAGAAGCTTTCTTAGTTGGTTATTTTGAGGGTATAGTCTATCTACCCTATACTATTTTTCATTTAATAACTTTTATAGACTGCAACATCAATGCTATTCACGCAAAGAGGGTTACTATTCAAGAGAAGGATTCTCAATTGGCTAGGCGCTACTTTGCGCGCGAGTTACTAGCTTTTCTCTAGATTATAAGATATATCTAGATACACTTGCTTAAATGCTAGCTGGCGAAGCCTCTGTATATTATAAATGAAACTAGTTAATGCTACACTGTGTTAATCTACTGTGATACTATATAAACTTTTCTTTTATTGAAATCTATATTATACATCTTGCAATTTTTTTACTATAACCCAACCCTAACCCATGGTCCGTGCGACCCCAACCCAACCCCAACCCAACCCTAAGCTTGGCGCTGACAAATGGGTTGGGGCTGGGTTGGGGTCGCAAAATTTCTAACCCAACCCCAACCACACCCCGACCCATTTGCCAGCGTAGTGGGAGGTGGCCTCGCCTCGGGCTTGGCAGTGCTAAGTCCCGGCGCTAGCCCTGGTTTGGGGGTCTTATGTCCTTCCCCAACCACCATCGGCTCGATCATGGAGCAAAACCTCGCCTCAATCTGACATGTCTATTGATAAAGCGAGTAACCTAGCTCTCGCTAAGCTGCTGATGGGCTACTTCTGATGAGAAATTCCTGATTATCTCTCGCGTAGGAGGAAGGCCTCTCTCTGTGAGCGTTTTTATATATCTCACAAGCTCTAGCTCTTGTTGTGGATTAAGTACTAGCTTCTAGAGTGTACGGGCTTGTTGTGGTGCTTAAGAGCCCTGGTGTCTTCGGCTAAGTGTTGATCGATCAATGTTGTACTTAGCTGCAATTTTTGTATACGAGGTTTGTTCTCCTAGCTCTCGCGATTCAAATGCTGCAATTGCAGCTTGGATTGGGTCCATATTGGTAGAGTTATGACGCGTTGAAGTTAGTGTTGATTTCACAATTTGGTGTTCGGCGGGGCGTCTCGCGAATCCGGGCGTCTCGCGCACGGGCACGTTATGCGCGCAGTGATAACTAAGCCCCTAAAGGCTTCAACAATCAAGCCGATCAAGCTAGTCAAGCTTTTTTCCACCAGCAGCTTGGCTTGTTAGCAACTTACTATAGGCGAGCTTGGCTTGATAGAAGTATCAAGCTTCAAGCCGATCAAGCCAGCTTGAAAAGCCGTCTTGATAGTTGCCATCTCTGCTGATCGGTAAGTCTTAAACCACCATCAAGAGTTTGTTGAGCCAGATAATCCACTAGTGATCCTTTTAGACCATTTCAAGCATACTTCAAGGATGTGGAACGATCCCAAGAGGAAATTTGACTAAGCATTTGCAACTATGGAAGCTTCAAGTCCGTTCATGTTCGCCCTATATCGCTTCTCCGGTTCATGCCACCAGCCATAGTACTTGCTTGCAGTCGAAACGCCTTCAGATTACTAGTGGTACTCTTAGAACGCGCATGCATGCCATCCATACGACTACCAGCTCCATGGTCAGATCCTGTAATTCCTAGACCACTCATTCTATCCGGCCTCTGCAGAGAAAACGCTTGCATTGACCGCGCTCGATCCTGATCACCATGATCGGGACTTCGATCGACTGGTGAGTTTATGGATTTTGTGCGAGTGTTCATCTTGGTCATCAATGCTGACATAGCGGCAGTTGGTGACGGATGAGCCGATGCACCTGAGTTTGAACGAGCCCAGTCAGACATAGCAGTGTCACGACGTTGCAACAGCTGCGGCGTGTCATTGAGCGTCCTGGATCTTCGGCGTCCCATTGAATATCTCATAGATGACGATAACGATGGCGATCGACTTGACGGTGGCGTTGGCAGAGCATGATTACCCTGTGGTAGCGATCCATAGGCTTGCATTAATTGCCGCAGATCGATAGCTTGCGGTAGTTTACTCAAACGCCGAATGGCCTTTTTGTTGGTGTCAATGAAAGTCGACATCGCCTTGAGAGCGTTACTTTGCGTGTGCTGTTCGTACGCAGGGGTACCGCTTGCAGTGCTCATCGCACGAGCGGCATGCTGCTCGTTGAGCCCCATGGTCCGTGGCGTCATCGGTGAAGATTTGCTCAGATTCATCTCGATCTGTGATACGACACGGTCGAAATCGACACCGTTGGTGGGATTTCTAGCAGCCGGCTGAATGGATGCTTCGCGGGCTAGAATAAAGAAGGAACCGTCCCAAACCTTTCGTTTCAGAATGTTCCATCGAGCACGAGCCGGGTTTCTCTCCATATCGGGTTGGAACACGGAGTGACGGGCGAGCTTGGCGTAAAAGCCTTCAAGGCGATTCGCCATCCTTTCGAGTACTTGCATGAGAAACGTGGAAAGTGCAGTGACGCGTTCGGAATTGGATAGAGCATCGAGCTCCATAATACTGTCAAAAGCATCCATGCCAGTACAAGCTTCTTCCCTAATAGCCTCGAGAAACTCCATGTCGTATCGGACAGACCGCTGCGCATATGCGATGATACCTTTCTCATGATGACGAGCAGATTCACTGTCGCAGGTGAATTGGCCGATTTGAGAAATCTCGTTGCACGCCGTGACAGCATCATGGGAGCCTTTGGCGCGGGCGATTACACCAAGGACGTCGGATAACTTGGTGTTGGCAGAAGAAACATTGGCGAGAGTGAATGAGATCTTGAGGTAGAGCTCTTGCAGTTTTGCTCCAAAGAGAGTAGAAAAACCACCATCTAATAGGCGAGACTGGTAGTGGTAGAATCTGCGCACACCTCCCATGTTGAAGAGGTCACCCTGGAACCACACGAGCGACGACTCTGTGATCATGCCAACCTCGAAGTTCGACGCGACCACTTGTTCAGTTGCGACACGAAGATAACCCTTCCATAGATCGTAAAGCATGCCAATCTCCTCGGATTGAAAAGCGGGCTTCGGGGTCATTTCTCCAATGTAGTACTTGGTCAAGAGAGACGAGACTTCGGGATTGTTGGTATGGGCCAACAAATCGAAAGATTTGGTGCAGTCTACGCCGCCGTTGGATTTGATGATATTGGTACCGCCTGGGTGCATTGCGCAAAAGTCGGTGCTGCGACGGTCTTAGTATGCGTGAGCCATTGGGTGAGTGGACAGTACACTTACACGTCATACACTTTACCATGCACTCCGATCCATACGCGCGAACCGTTGATATGACCGGTGTGAAGAGCTAGCTGTGAAAGCGATATCGTAGGTTGGTTGCAAGGTAGAGGTCTTGGGGTCATAAAGACGTCGAGCATAAAGCGTCGCTCGGCAAATGCAGTGTTCAATATGGTCTCCACAGTTTCCATAGTAGGCGATCGATGATTGTAGAGCGCTTGGCGAATGCCGGACATGACTGAATCAAATACTCCGACTGAACCGCATACGTAAAGGTAGCCACCGATGCCGCCTTGCTTCTATGATCCAAGCACGTTAGCAAAGACTCCAGGGATTGGGAGCATAAAACTTACCTTTGACATAACGAGATCGCATATGGACTGCCCTTGCTCCACGATAAGCCCGTCAATATACCGTGAAGGCATTTCCTTTTCCACAAGGTCTCTGGAAACAGGATCGTACACTAGGCCATTCGTGTCGCGCGAAAATGCCGTATGCACTTCTATCAGTCCCTCGTTGACATACTGACGAAGCTCAGATTCATAACAGAACTTTTGCCGGGACTGTACACCGAGATATAAGACAGTTTTTCCCCATGCTTGGCCGCAACGAGCTTGCCAGAAGCTGCGGAAAGGTGCCACGCCGCTGCCACCTGCAAAGAGCGCAACAGGCGAGGTGTCGTCATGTGGCAATTGAAATGAGAAAGGCCTCGACACGCCGATCAATATATCCTCGTCATCGAGTACGTCCATCTCTTCGGCTACTGGCGGGTTTAGGAAGCCACTGCTAACGCCGTTCCGCACATGTTTGGCAGTACCTGCGAACGTGGGGCAGAGGTCGTACTCCGAACGGGATATTGTCTACACACGTCAGTTTTGGATGTCATCCCAAGGGAACAATACATACCAAGTCTACAGTACTAGGAAGAAGTTCGTCAGAGTAGTTGGAGATGCTGTAAGTTCGTGGTACCTCGACAGAAATGAGTTCTGCCAGCCAGACCAGATTGCCAGAGAGGTCGAATGCTTGGTCCCAGATGCGTGGCGAAGTGTCTTTCACAGCTGCCTGAAGTAAGTCACCGAGTGAGGCTCGTACAGGCCATTCATCTGTGGCTAGGACCTGCAGCACTGCATGCGATGACGCTCGCAGCAGGGTATGCAACTTTGTGGCAAGCTTCTTGGTTATCGGCGCAAGATGACCCTTGCGTAGGATATCAAGGACATTGAGCTGGGGCTTGTCTGTATGCGAGATGGCGCCCATATGAACAGCGTATCGTGTCCATATACGGTCCAGACTGACAGGATCTGCAAGCATAGTATCAAGGCCTAGCGCAGCTGCAACCTTCGCACACTCTGTCCAGCTATTCATTGGCATGATAGCAAGTCGGTCGCCAGGCTGAAAGGTGATGCCGGTGTCCTGGATGTCTAAAGTGACCATCGCAATGGAGCGCTTGGGATCCGAGTCGACGAAGTTCCTGCTCAGGATTCTGCCTCGGTATCGGCATTCTTCGAAAGTACCACGCATCTCGTGTGGTTCGACATCACGTTGTCCACGGAAAGGCTCCAGACGTTCCTTCATAGCCTCGGAAAATTCTGCATGCGTTTGCTCCCAGGGTCTCATAGCGTCAGCAGCTCCAGAAGCCCCATTTGTCTCAGTCCGACCAGACTTGCCGGCGCACTCGAGTAGCTTCTCGATGTCAGTCGGATCAACGTATTGGTTAGAACATACTTACACCAAACACTTTGTACCGATGGACACCCATGAAGCCTCGCTCACCAGTGTATGCCTCCACCACGCCATCGAGCACACCCATCAATCGGGGGTCTCCAGATGCCTTCACATATTCTGGTATCTGATAATGATACTCGATGGAAGCAATGAAAGCACGGAGATTCGACGGCAGCCAGGCTCGAAGATGTACACCTTCGGCGCCAAGAAATGAGTTATACTGTTTGCGACCAAGGAAGGCATCCATGACCAGGTACCTGAATGTGTTAGTAAAGAGCTTTAAGATAGATGGATTGACTTGCGGAGGAAATTGTAGGCCGGAAGTAGCTGGACAACGTTTGGACAGAGGCGCCGAGAACTTAGCCCAGCGTACCCACTCGGTAGGAGACACATAGTTCTCGCCAGATCTATCGTTGGGCGATATGGTGTTGAAGGCTGTGGGCATTCGTTCCAAGATCTCTTTCAAGCGAATGAGTTCACGAAGGAGCCCCTCGTTGTTACGGTTCATAACGTGTTCTTGACACGCCGCAATGGCATCAGGACCATGCTGAAAGCTCGCCGACGTATCCGCGCACCCTTTGAGGAACGCATTCTCAGCGCTGTCACCGAACATGCCCCATCGCAACCTGGTGTTGTCGAAGCGACCGACATAGGGATATTTCGAAAGTGGGTCGACGTAGTCGACATTGAAAGACGACTGGTCGAAAAACGTGAGGTGGGGAATAGACCGACCCATCCGAATGGAAATCTGAACGTACGGAAGGCCGATGCTACGAGGGATGCCTTTGACCTCGTCGCCAAGATCGTCGCATATAGGAACACCTTTCAGTTTCAAAGGCTTCGTAGCTACGTTGATGCCCTCATTGCCATCATGTCGCTCTTCATACCGGTAGATAGAGCAAAGCATGCCAAGGGCGACCAGAGCTGCCCATAAAGCTTTGTCTGGGATGGTGTCGACCGTTCCTTGGATGATTGGTAATGCTGCGATTGATTCCCGCACTCGACCACGAGCAACGCAGCCAGGCATTCTTGTACACAGATCCATCCATACTCGTCCTGGAGAGTTGCGTAGGGCACCAGGAGCCTCGCTTGTGTCTGGAGGTTGGAAGCCGTACTCGGTGCTCAAGTAGCCATCTCGCCAGCCTGTCACAGAGCCGACTTCTTCCGCACGTAGTATGACTTGACGAGCGGGTGCACCAAGCGCAATTGCCAGTAGATCTCGGTCATTCATGTTGAGGGTGTCAAGACTCTTCACGCCTTTGGCATTTTGAATCTCTTTGATCTCGTCCATCGAAGGCACGTTCGAATAGATCAGCTCGTTGATCGCCTTACGTTCCCTAAATTGGTTAACAAAATCATCCTAGCTCGGATTGATGGCATGCCCACCTTTGTCGAAGGAAGTCTTCAACGTTCGCATGTTGTGGTATCTATTATCATCAGCAACAGCATTTCCAAGTGCATGGAATTTGCAATTACTCCGAACGCAGCATGCACATCTCCAGGCGCGGCAAATCCAGAAAATGTGCACCCTCGGGGACCCATCCGACTTCCGCTCTTGCTAGCAGCAGCTGACCCCGCTGGGCAATAACCACCAGCCATACCGGAGACTGGACATTGTTCTGACCTCAAAGACATGGGTAATTAGAAGAAGGGTTGTTGGGATACCTGCCCGTTAGTGGAGTGAGAAGGAATTGAAAAGACCTAGTGACAAAGACAACCGACAACAGTAAGAAATGATTGTATTGCACTTGAGGATACAGTTGCAGTACCTAATCTACTGCAGATAACATGTAGTAAAGTAGGCACCTAGTAGCATTGACTCATGTTATCAGTCCATAGCGCACCATAGCTGAGCTGACGTGTTTCCGCCAGAGCGAAACGCTTTGCCATGAAAGAGCGAATGGCTTGGCTGGAACAAAACACGGTTTTGACATTTGGCTGTTGTCGACTTGAAAGGCGAGCCGGCCTTCTAGAACTTGACTGGTGGCGCAGGCTGGCATACGAGCGCGCCGGTGTGCCTGCGTTAAGTCATGGACGTAAATTGCGCGACGTCCGGTGTTTGTACTACGGGGATCAAAGGGTGTCGCATGCACTTTCCGTCCGTGCCGTCCTTGCGCCTCGCGTGCACTTTCGGTCCCGAGACGGGCTGTTCCACGTTAAGCGTGACCAACCCGGAGTGCATCACCGATCGCGCTTCTCGAAGCTCATGAGGCATATCATAGACGTGCTTTCAGACCGCATGCAGCTGTGTCACGCAGTCGCATCACTCGTTGTAGGTCTAGGAAGTGGGCACCCTAAAGCGCCAGTACCGGTATTGGCACTTCTGTGAGCGACTTTACCTACGCGCATCCCACCAGACGCGACTTTTACTTGCAACTTGCGACAATACAGCGCAAGAAGCTCCGAATGTGGCCAATGCACGCGGAGTATGCTACAGGCTCCTTTACTTCTAAACAAGCAGCTAAGCTAGCCCACCTAGTTTTGGCCCAACCTAGTTTTGGCCCACCCCAATTGGGCGCGCGATCTCATTTTTGAAGCTCAACAACAACGTATATGTTTACTATAATTGTCACTGTATACACATAGAATCCACCGTAGCTATAGTGTTTTCAGCTACAGTTAAAGCTGCTAATCTACCACCTGAACTAGTAGTGTTTTGAGCGGTAGAAGCTTGCGATTCAGCTATCGCAGCTCTGATTGATTCAACATTGCTAAAACGCTTATTTAGATCGAGTTGTACTCGCTTTCTTCGAGTTGTAGGCCTGAGTTGTTGTTGCGGTAGAACGTAATTTCATGTATTCTGCTATCGTGTTGTGTTGTTCGTGCTGTGCTCCCAGAAGCAGCAGCAGGGTCTATTTTACATGGCATATCTATGACACAGCTGAGGTAAGAGGTGTTCAATAAAGTAAGGAAGCAGCACCAGACTACCAACACGTGATCTGCTTCTCCTCACAACCGTCACACACCCCCTCATCTTGTAGTCGTCTAACGACGTAAAGATAAACCTCTCAGGCATTGTTATCTATCTCACGAACCTTCGAACGAATGTCGACTAAGTGTAGTTGCTGCACAAACTCAGTATACTTCTGTCGAGGAAGGATCTTCGTCATGCCGTTAGCAGGCATCTGGTTCGTGGGCTTCTAGTGTACGTAGAGGCGGTTCCCCTCGACCTCCTGGCGGACCCAGTTCTGATGGATATCGACGTGTTTAAGCTTAGTGCTAAGCTTGTCCTGCTCCTTCGTGACTATGCCCACAGTCTGCTAATTGTCGCACTAGATGATAGGCGTCTGGTTGAGCTTTAAGAATAGTCCTTTGAACAGGCGGCACCACTCCTCCATCTCTAATCTAGCGAGTGATAGAGCGAGCAGCTCTGCTTTAGTCGTAGATTTCGTGACCGTGCGTTAGAGTGTTAACTTCCAGTCAACAGTTATGCTAAAGAGCTGAAATACGTATCCTTAAGAGCTTTAGCGTATCTTAACGTCGTTAGTAAAGGAGACATTAGATGCTCTAAAAAAGATAGGATTGCGATAGTCCTATAGTGCTGTAAGGTACTCTTATATCTCTACCTCATTAACGGCTTAAGCCTATAGGGCTTAGTACTTTGTCTTAAGAATGTAACGCTACACTGTAAGGGGCTACGCTCAGGGAGCAATCGCACAGGTATACTGAAGTTGTATTCGATGGGGAAGAGAACTACAAGCTATCTCGTGCTAAAGGTTATTCGGAGGGCGGCTCGGAATAACCTTCTGCCTATGGACTGTGCGGATGGTCTGAGCGTCGTTCGGACCGAGATATCATCGAGGGTTCACCAACTGGGCTCCAGCCCATCACATACACTCTTCGCACAGATTCAACATGTGCTTAACTAGGATTAATCAAGTATAATGCATAGATAACATAAGCGCGAGCCAGATTAGATTAGGTATGCTGTGTTAGGTAGGCAAGGTAGCCCACAAGCTCCTAATAGGTCTTTGTTCGAGCTGTGTTCGGCTCCTCTAGAGACTGTTCTAGATAGTTCGCCAGCATAGGCACCTTAGAAGGGTGGCCAATAGAGGTGATATTATACTTAGCGGCAACCTTGTTAATGTAGGCGTCCTGTTGTCAGATAATAGCACTGTTGAAGAGAAGAGCGTACAGACGCTGGGTTAGACTAGCGCGACCCGGCATCTGTGAGAGCCAATCGGATCACAGGAAGGCTTGGCACCCCCTAGGTGTGCCCACAACCGTAGACAGAACCAAGACACAATCAATCATCAATATTATCATCATAATTACCTATTTCATCAGTATTCCAGATGAGAGTGAATATCTGACAATAAGAGTTAATATCTAATAGATTGTTACTCTATTTATTTATATAATGGGATACAACTGTCAAAAGTAAGAGTATAAAGTAGTGTTGAGAATATCGAGGTTCAGTCCAGGGTAGAGGGTGCTTGGGAGTCACATGATATGCTGGTGTGGCAGGCACTGTCCGGTGGGCAATAGCACCCACCACAACAGCCTAAGTCTGTGACACTGGACACGATAGTCACCCCGGCTTGTCCCTCTCACTCGGTTGTCGACAGTAGTCATACTACTAGAGGGACCTTGTTCCAATAAATAGTAACTATAATTGTTAAAGAAAAGAATAAAGCATCACCTAAGAAGAGAAGGTACGCCTTTCTTATACTAGCGGAGATTTACTCTCCGCATCAGTACACCACATCCACCACTCTACTCCTTTTCTCTCCTCTGCCCTCCTTCTTTCCCCCTTACAACAGACAGTGGATCGTCCCTTTGGTATCCCCATGCTTGATCACACACTGCCAATGATTTTGACCTGGCACCCAACCTGGCTGTGGATCGCACTACATTTTCACATCGTCGTTAGCTTCTTCCTCTCTTTCTCTTACGTCCTTCCTCTTTTCTCGCCTTAGTCACTGCATGAATTTATTGAATACTTACATCTCTCACACACTTCGCCCTGATAGGGTCCTCGGCCTCTGGGGTCTCGGGGATTTGGGTTGAGCAGTCAGTGCCACCCTATAGAAATTGGGTTAGTTGCGCTCCAAGACGTTCATGTATAGAGCTCTTTCTGTCCTAGGGAAATGTTCTTCTAGAGATGGATCTTTTGTACTTCGCTGTGGCAGGCGTAGGTAGAGCTTACTTCTTTAGGTGTGTAGCAATTGGCTTTCTCATGAAATTCCAAATGCGCTGGTGGTAGTCCTGGTGGTGGTCCTGGTATTGGTGATGGGTCTGGTATATCTGCTCGTGCTAGCGCATGCGCCATGCTAGCGAGAGCGAGAGAGGTGAGGATAGTGAGTTTCATTTTTGTTGTTAGAGCCTTTGTCGAGAACAATAGTAATGTGTTTAAAAAAGAGACTACCGTGAGTGTATAGGCGATGCGGGCTAAACTGGAGCGGAGAGTGTCTTGTTATAATCGCGAGCGCGAGTTAGATAATTTCAACTCCTGACACAGATCAACCGAGAACCTACTAGGGCCTGTTTAAGCACAAACCAAAATGGGCATTTAATCAAGGATCCTTTCGAGTTCAGATCATTTTCGGCTCCTGGGGACTAAGCTGATGTGAGGTTTAATCTCCCGACAAGCCCATCCCTTCCTGTATAACGGAAATCTGGGTGAGCCGGAACCAGCCGATATGAACACATGGTCAGCAGACATTTGCACAATGCTGTACGTCACTGGCAGATTCCGGCCAGCAAAGAAGATAAAAGAAGAGCCACTGATATATGTAGTGATATAGTATCGCGTCAACCTCTCCGCCATGTTATCTAACTGAGGACTACGTAAGTCAGATCTCGTTTCTCACGCATCTTGCTTCTCGGGTCTCTATCGTGCTGCTCTGACTGTGTTGTGATTGGTCGCTGTCGGGTAACGATCTACATAACACGATGGGCGCCACTACCGTCAGCAACGCCATGACCACAGCACATCCGAGCACATCCGAGCACATCCGAGCGCTCCAAAGCACAGTCAGCTGACTTCCCCAATTTGCGCTTCAATCCAGAGAGGCAGATCCTTTATCCTTGCCTGCACTAGTGCGAACAAAGCTGTAAGTAAGCAGTAGACTCCGCAACAATCAATTCAATCCGGTCACTCTCCTAGACCCACTTACCTATCTAGGTAGGGCTTAAACTCCTATAGGTAACTACTAGGCTTAAAGCGGTAATCAATCAATCCAATCTGAACCTTCTAGGACCCACTTAATTGATTGTTGCGGACTGTGGTAAGCAGGGGAGAGGGGAACAGCAGACCATGCCCAGGCTTGACAGAACCACCATTTTGCAAGGCCCATTGAAGCTAAAGAGAACAATGGTAATATCCGTCCCTTTTCTTTCTAGTCTGTCCTACTCCACCACCGACGCCGTTTGCGCTACTCTCACATAGGCCCTCCTTCGGGTAATGGTTGATTAGAGTTTCCTTTCTAGTCTGCGTTACTCCGCCACCAACGTCTACTGCTCCACAGCGGAGATTAGATGCGTTATTATCATCTTTTCGGATCATGGTATGTGACGTAACGATAAGTCCGAATCATGACGTACTCATTTCTTTTCGGATCATCGTATGAATTAGATGCGTCAGGATAAAAACTCAATCACGGTATATTCTGGCGGTGGCTTCCTGAGCGAAGCCCCTCAAAATACACCTAGCTCTATTATGTGACGGGCTGAACGCGTTTTGATAGAGCCCCTCGATGATGTCTTAATGCGCAATCACAAAATCCGGGTGTAGGCCATGGCACCTACCGCACTCAAATGCCGCGCTTAGACATAGATCAACCGGAGAGCTTATTTCTCTGATCTATACGAAGACATAAGTACCGGAGTAGATCCGTATTACCCTTGGCGTAGCACTCTCTTAAGTCTAGCCTCTTGCAGCGGGGTTCGTATTAATCAAATTAAGGCCGATTGAACTATGAACAGATTGTAAGATGTACAGTAGGGTGACAAAAAGAAAACAACATTAAAAAAGCTACCTTTTTTAAAGCTACCTTTTTTAAAGCTACCTTTTTTAAAGCTATATATCTAGACAACTAGACTAGCTAGAACTTTAGCTTTTAGTGTTCTGGAAAGCGAAGATCTTCTTCTTTAGGCTGGCTTATTTAAAAGGCTGATTAGTAAGCTTAGATTTGTGTAACTTTGGCAGTGCTTAAGTATACTAAAAAGCTCTGCTCTTTTCTAGCTACAACTTTTTATTTGGAGTATCTTTTTGGCTAGAAATTTCATATGTTATTACATACATATCAATGAATAGTATACTGTAGTTTAGAGCTATTCTATCAGCTATTGCAATAGTTAGATAAGAAAGTTAATTTTTAAGCTTTTAGTATATTAAACTAGCTAGATCGAGTAACTAGTACTTAGTATACCAACCTTTAGCTTGTTTTACCGCAGTATAACGTCTAGGTAAAGACGAAATGCAGTTATCTATTGCCTCTTGCGGTATTTGCTCCCACTCTTCCAAAATTGCTTTTTTAAACAATTCTACTGCCTTTATACTTTGACCTACGCCTAAAGAGGCAGTAGATCTTCTAACTAGTCTATTTTTAAGTAGACTCCAAACGTTTTCGATAGGATTTAGATCTGGGCTATAGGTAGGATGCTCAAAAAGAGGAATCCTATTTCTTGAAAACCAAGAAATAACTGCTGGCGTTTTATGAATCTTGGCGTTGTCTTGCTGAAATTTCCACCCTAGATAGAAAAGAATGTCAGCTTTCCATATCTAAAAGAAGTTTTGAAAAAGAATAAAAAATAACTTAGTTAGAGTCTTTTAAAGTTGTAAATAAAGTAATACTTTCTTACCTCTTTTAAAAAGAGGTTTAACAATTGGATTTAAAACCTCTCGTATATATCTTGTATTTGTAAAGCTTCTCGGTTCTTGTGGCGTTCTAGTTATATATAACTTAGATCTTCCACCTAACCAAATAGCTCCCCAAACAGAGATAGTAATGTCTCGGGCTATAACTTAGTTAGTAAGCTAGATAAAAATAATCTAGAAAACTAGAAAAATACTAGATTTTTAGGAGAATAAAATGAGTTATTCAGATTTTTTTTAAACTCACTTGAATTAGCTGTAGAGACTTTTTCTTTACCAGTTCTCTTGTTTCTTCTCTTTCTAACGTATTATTGCCTAGCACCGTGTCTACGCTGTATAGAAGACTCGTCTGAAAATACAACTTTGTTAAAGTGTGTATATTTTAGAATTTTAAGTGTCTTCTTAGCGTATTTATTCCGTAAAGCAGCTTTTTTTGCGTTTAAAAGCTGTTTTTTCTTAGCAGTAGAAACAGAGTATTTCTCTACTTTTAATAGGCGTTGTAGGCTTCTAGTAAAGAAATCGAGATTGTTCTCTTCTAAAATGCGTTGATTTGTCTTTTTAGGACTTCGTTCTAGGTCTCTATTAACTACTCTAGTAGCTCTTTTAGAGATCTTAGAAGGGCGACCTAGTTTAGGCTTAGAAAGAAGTAAAGAAGTACTTTTTTTCTTCTTAATACGTTGTAAAGCGTCTGTAATAGATCTAGAAGACTTTTCTAGGATAGTACTAATAGCACTAGTAGATAGCTGTTGTAAAGATAGAGTATAAATGTTGGTTGGCTTTGCACTAAGTGCGTAAAGGGAAATAACGATAACTAGGAATGCATTCTGTTCGGTGGTTCTGATTGATTGTCTACGAACATAGCTGCTACGAAGGTATACCTAAGCTCTGCGCAAGGTGGGCCGAAGTCGGGCCGAAGTGTCAAGCAGCCGACGTCTCTACCGATACTCACGATCCGACAATAAACTTCTTTTTCAAATTTCGAAAGTTTAATAGACATAGAGAGGTAATATAGAAGAGAAAAATTGAGATTAGAAAGAGAAAAATATATAGAATAAGACTAAAAGAAGCTTACGTAATTTTAGCGTCTTTTTTTAGCGTCCTTTTTTTTAAACTTTGATTTAAAAAAAAGTAAGTAAAATACCCTAGTTCTAATTTTGCTTACGTAATGCTTATATAAGCTAGTATCACATAAATTTTTTTTAGAACTTTTTATACGCTCACTAAAAAGTTGTAGCTGCATTAAACTAGGATATTTTTTATCTCTATATTTACTGCTACTTATCTTCTCCTAAGTGCTTACTAAGCAGGTTCATTAGGACGCTCACCTCAAGAGGAAGTTCTTAGCTTTCCAAAACACTAAAAATTATAGTTCTAGCTAGTCTAGTTGTCTAGATATATAGCTTTAAAAAAGGTAGCTTTTTTAATGTTGTTTTCTTTTTGTCACCCTACTGTAAGTACATATAGTTACCCCTCACTGTATGA